CATAAGTGACATTCATCTGAAAGCCCAAGAACATATAGATGGAATTAATATTCATGGAATTAGGGTTTTATATTCATATTTCATATTCATACTTGTTCACTGTTTGCCGTTTCCAGAATCAACAGCATACCTTAAATGCTAGCTGATAGGAATCAACATTGGAGGAGACCAATCTCTTTCTTACCTGTATTGGTGAACTTCCCCAATCTACCTGACTGGCTACAATGTGGACTAGCAGCGTTCTTTTTATGTAGCTTCATATTAATAACCACCCAAAGTTATAATGTGATAATGGTGCATCTGAATGATGGTGATGAAAGATAGAAAAGCCTGTTCTGGCATTTTTGAGCTGATTATATAGTTCAGCTTACAGCTGTGAAAAACATTCATTCTGTGTCAGGGGACATGTATTTATTTATTTGTTTATTAAATACAAAAGAAGTTAAAAAATAAGGTTCAAATCTACAAACCTATGGTGAAATACTGCACACAGATTTGGTCACACCTCAGATAAGGTATTGTGAAGCTGGAAAAAATGCAGAAAAGGGTGACAAACATGATCAGGGGACTGGAGTAGCTCCCTTCTAAGATCACAACAGTTGGGACTTCTGCATATATAAAAAAGATAAATTGGAGGTATGTTGACAGAGGTTCGTAATAACATTATACATGTATGGAGACTTTCATACGTTCTCATAGCACTAGAAGTCAGAGTTGATGCTTGAGTTTCAAGGACAGACAAAAAGATCTATCTGTGGCAGTGAGGTTTAACTTACCCTTTGACGTCACTAGCTGTTGAAGATTTCACACAAGACTGCATCTACAATGTAGAGCAGCCTGGACTTCCTTGTACAACTCATTACCACCCTATTGACAGTAGTTACGGAAATTGTGCTGGGAAAACAGACCAGGAAATATCAAGTGAAGTAACTGATACAAAACATTTCCCCTTCAAGGAGGAATAGCAGATGGCCCATTAAACATACAACTACTGCCATACTGCCATTAAAAAATACTCTGCATGGTAACAAGAATAATATTGATGCAAACTTGATATTCAATTAAAAGGTTGCCTGTAGTGGGTCAGCTGGGACTCATTTTCACTGCAACAAAAAGTACATTTGATCACTTTTGGGTTTTTAATGAAAGAATTTCAACATGAAAAATAACTCCAGTGCCGAAGAGAACCAGAATGAAAAACACCACCTGAAACAGCCTGATAATGTCTGGATATTCTCTATAACAGTCTTCTCTGTGGTAACTTTAAATAGTCCTTCTCTGCATCAAATGTACCCAATTTTTCAATAATTTTGTACAAGATATTGGTTCAAAAATGCCCTATATTTGCATGAGGATGCCATTATTTCTGCCTTAAGAAAAATGTAAAAAGTAGTCTGGCCTGATCTGACCACTAGGAATAGACTCATATCTAACTGAGAAGATAAACCGCTTGGGCTGAGCAATCCTATAAAGATGGAAGAGATGCTTGTCAACAAGAGACCACTTCCTACATTTTTTTTCCAGATTCAACACCGTGGAAGGGTTTCCTTGATTATTTTCCTTACTTTTGTTTCAATAGAAAGAAAGTGAAATACATTCCAAGTTTAGCATACTTTTCCCCCCTTTCTAGATGCATCTTGGGGAAATGAGGCATCTTTTGGTGTCAAGAGACCGTAACTTCTGATGATCCTCTCCTAACATGCATTCCTTCCTTCCCCAAGTACAGTAACAACAGGAGTTTTTCATCCTGTCTTTCCTTCAGGAATTGAGGATGGTGAACATAGCATTCCCCCCTCCAATTTTTCAACACAACATCAACTTTTTCTTTTTCATTAGTTTGACTCAAAATAGCTTTAAAATCCATTGTATTAGGCATAAAGTACTAAGTTACCTCCTTTTATAAGAAATATTGCTAATCGACTTAGCTTTATATTCAAAGCAACCTTTCTAAAGCACTCATACAAATGGTGAAGTGTTTTAACTTTCCCTGTTTACATTAAAAGCAAAAACAAACTCTGCCAAGATAACTCACTATTAACATTTTATATATGGGAAACACAGGATGCAAGCTGATCATGAAGGCTCCTTGCTAATTTGGTATTTGTGGATTTAAACATGCAATTATTTTATTCAGAAATCAGATTATTGTCATGTAAATTCTAACATGACATCGATACCATAATAACAAAGTAACAATTTCTCTTAGCAGCATTCCACAAATATTATATACAAAATTATATATTGTCAGATTTACTTAACATACACCCTGTTAGCTTAGGATCACTGAAAATTCTATCTGACATGACCAGTATACATAACAGTATTCAAAAATTTGAAGTCTTTTTCTCCCCCTACCTTCCTTTAGCTTCTTTGCGGTACCCCAAAGGTATTTGGGAAATTGTATCATGTTATGGGCAAATGAATCTGGCTGAACTAAAGGAAGCAAATTTCTCTCCCGGCTAAGGTAGGTTTTCATGTAATTGTATGGTTATATTTTAAGTCATCACCAAATAGAATAGATAGGATGGAATTCTTAAGATGTTTGAAGAAGTTATGAATGCTATAATTTTGTATAATTAATATCAAGAGGCGGTTGCCTTTGAATTTAAAAGGCAGTCTACTTCATTGCAATGTCCAAGCATGGGTAGTCTATTTTATTTGCCATTAATTGCAATGAACTGAACATGGAGGTGTGCTACAGGTAGGGATATAGCCCAATACTATGAATGTTTTCATTTTTGACATTTTAGGTTCAGTCTCCACCATCTCAGTTCTCAGGTACTGGGAAAGGTTTAGCATATACTCATTTGAATTCCTTGTTTATTTCAGACTGGAGTACATCTCAATTGTGTGCTGAAGACTACAGTGACTGACCCAGTTCCTGTGCCTTGTCTTCAGTGTATGCATAATAGAATATGCATTTCTCCAAACTTATGAGTGTAGCAAATCCAGTACTAGGTTAGGTGAGACGTCTAGTTTCACTTAAAATAAGGAAACCCCTTATTAAAAGCATGACACTGTTGGACTAAATTTTCTCTGGCAGAAACCATACATTTTAAACTTAAGTTAGGGCAGATTAAAATTGCTTAGTCTTGTCAACAAAATTTCCATACTTCTATGTTACTCGCATATTGTTGTTGTTATTTTTATCCCACCCTTTTTTATATATAGAACTCAAGGTGGTGAACATACTCAATGTTCCTGCCTCTTATTTTCCCAATAACAACTCTGTGAGGTGGGTTGGGCTGAGAGAGAGTGACTGGCCCAAAGTCCCCCAGCCGGCTTTCATGCCTAAGGCAGGACTAGAACTCAGCCTCCTGCTTTCTAGCCCAACACCCTAACCGCTACACCAAACTGGCTCTTTGTTATATGTTATGCAGGACCTGAAAGCAGACAACAGCAATCTCTCAGAACAGGAACCAGTCACCATCACAGTAGCAGACATCCAACAGTGGGTGAAGAACGTGAAGAGCTAGACGGCACCTGGCCTGGACATGACCCACACCTACTGGCTAAAGAAACTAACAACAATGCATGAACACCTAGTAGCACAGATGAACCAGCTGCTAGCAGCAGGCTAACACCCAGACTGGCTAACACAAGGAATGACAGTGCTGCTCATGAAAGACCTGCACAAGGGAACAGCACCATCCAACTACCGGCCAATAACCTGCCTCCCCACAACATGGAAAGTCCTATCAGGCATCATAGCTGCCAAGCGCCCGGGTGTAAGACACAGGCAGGAACAGCATACACTGAATGGCAAACCAAGTAGCCGGCATTGTGTACAGGAACATCTGCACAGTGTATGCGCTAGACCCCCCCAAGCCCGCTTGGGGGTGTTAACAGAAGGATGGGGGGAAAAACAG